ATATAAAATCAATTAATATATCTACATTTGTAATTTTCTTAATCTGTGACCCGTTGACCCGACGGGTCGGGTCGGGTTGAACCACTGACCCGACCCGACTCGTTCGGAGCTCTACCAGGGTCTGAATGTATTTGAATTTGTAATTTTCAGCTGGATCCAGTGTGATGATTTCTTTAGGTATATAATTTGAGCCAATATTGGTAAAAATTTGATCTATTATTAAACAATATCCTACAATATGTTATATTTTTTCAGGATATGATGTATGTATTCTTTCTTGAAGATCAAGGAACCAAATAAATGAACACAAATAATTGTTTATTCTGCTTTCTATGCTAGTTACCCATATAGGTAACTATAATTTACCTTTTGTTCAAGGTTGATAATTGTTTCAATATCATAAATCCATTTGCTAATAAGATCAATAATTATTAAAGCTCCTCATGAGCTGGCTTGTGAGCCAAATAACTTATTCAGCTTGTGAGCTTACTAAGTTATTTGGCCTGCAAGCTGGCTCATGCAGAGCCTTAATAATTATTTGTGATATACAGTGTGTTTCAAAAAAAATGGTGGTCACAAAAATATCACATATCTCAACAATTACACAACATACAATAGTCGAATAAAATTGGATTCATTTGAAAGCTTTATCATTTACTTTATTAAATAATAAAAAATAAACATTTAGAACTTTGCTAAATTTTTGTGTCTGAAATTTTAACATGGATTTTTTAATGATAGCTCTGACACAAACATATACATAATAATTATACAAAAATTATACCAGTCTGTAGCAAAAGTCCTGGAGATTATGTATATAAAGTTTTACACTCCCAGATTTTCTAGAATTTTGTCAATTGAAAATAAAAGGAATCTGATTATTTGAAAAAACCATTCAAATGTGTAAGGTTCTTTAATAATTGCTCTAAAGCCTACATAACAATATACTTCAAAACCTTTCTATGTTGTAATATAAGATCTTCCAATTCTCTGGTATAATTTTTATTACATAATTTTGGCTACTTTTTCATTAAAAACAATATTTTACAAATCACCATTTTTTTTGAAACACATTGTAAAATCAATTCAAAAAATGATAAATACAATTGTTGTAGTTTATTATATCCAATAGCCTTTTCATTTGACTGTGTTTTAATAGGGATTGCTCCATAAATACTACATCTATTAAAAATGATTTTAATATTATTGGTAAGAATTTTGATATTTTTTTTTTTGGTTTTTTTAAAAAACTACCTTCTACTAATTAATAATTAATTAATTAAATATAATCTATAATAATAAATAATTATATGGTTATATAATTCATATATATATGTATGTGTTGTATGTATATGTATATATATATATATATTGTAATAATATATAAAGAAAATAAATGGATTCTATGAATGTGTCTTTAACTGTTGAAGATTTATCTCCTTCTATTACAATCTCTAATTCTACAACTACACCTATCTGGAAATTGATTGATTTGTTGATGGTATTTGTTTAAAAAAATTTTTTTATGTAATAAGCTCTCTTCTTTTTTTGATATATCCTTTTTATATTAAAAAAATAATGTTAATAAATAATAAAACAATAAAAAATATATTAAATTGTTGATACCTTCATTTTAAATGTGTTAATTTTTATTACATTGCAAATTGTGCTTCCATAATTGTGACTTTGAATTTCTAAAGTCATTATTGCATATCCATATACTTGCAAAGTTTGAATAGAGGAATCACTTCCCAATTCTCAATTGTTCCAAAAAATCCTTCCAACATGTCTTGGGAAAGATGTCATGCTTGTATTGTTGATCCAGGATATTTTGTTAATAATTGATAGGAATCCATTAATTGATAAATTGTTTTTGCCATATCTCCTTTAATAAAATAATTTTAATGTGGATCAAAGGAATCCAAGAGAAAAATGTATTAAATTTTCTGCCACTTGGGATATCATGTACATAGTAAGATTATCTTTTTGGCCATAAAAAAGTATACCCTCTTCATTTATATTTATGCAAGGAAAAGAAATATTTTTGTCCATTTAGATCAGATTGTGATTTTAGTAATAGTTGTAATATCCACTAGAGCATGTTCCTATCAATTTTATATATATTAAAAATATGCAATATAAAAATTATAACTTGAATATAACCTACATTCCTTTTTCTAGTCATATTTTGTTCTTTTGCAACCTGATCCTCGCATATTTTAAAAGAGTTTTCCCAAAAAAAAATTTTATATCAGATAACTTTGAGGTTGGAATTTAGTCACGTTTATACAAAAAATTTTTTTTTCACCAGGGCGTTTTATTAAATAAAACATATGAAAATTGATACAGCGAACAGTTAGTGTGTGACATTCATATTGAACACCCTCCTCCTAGCCCTTAAATAAACAAATTCCACCCTAAATATATCGACAAATCAAACAAATAAATCACCTTCGAAAATGTCAATGTACAATAACGATTCTCAACCACCTAGAAAAGGTCCTGGAAGACCTCGAAAGATTTTTCAACCACCTCCATCATCAAAATCTTCTATTAATATTGAAGATTCTTCACAGCCACGTAAAAGATTAAGAATATCTTTTAAAAATGATAAAATAAATGAACCTTTAGAAGAATTTCGTAAAGAACTAATTTATGAAAGAGTCGATGAACTTTCAAAGTTAGTTGACAAACATGATCTTCTACTCAGAGAATTATATTTTCATGAAACAAATAAATCACTTGAAGATTTTGATCCTGAAAAAGTTAAACATGATAATAGTATACCTATAGAAAAGGTGTGTGCTAAATTTTTTTTATATATAATTGGGATTTAATTAAACAATCAATGCATTTTAAATTTTATCATTTTAAAAAAAATTATCAATTACAAAAATCAATATTGACCAAAACACTACAAAAGTACTTAACAGATCCTGAACTATGGACTAATGCAAATGATTTAATCACTGACATTATTCATGAAAATTTTCCTGAATTGTCTACTGAAAAAAAAAATTCTCATCATCAAAGTACTTCACATAAATCTAATAGCTCAAAACATAATGCAACATTATCATCCAACCATAATCATAGAGTATCCAGATCTAGTTCTAGCAGAAATTATGATTCAAATTCTGTTCTTTACTCACCATCACCATCATCATCAACTTTATCATCTTATTCACTTCGCCGTAATAATTTCCAAGTTACTCAAATTCCTCAGTTTCCTCGCTTTGATGAATTTTTGAATTCTTTTGTCACCTTAGATGATGATAAAGATGTGACCATATCAGAGGCTGATTTAAGAGCCCAAAAAGATGCTGACACTCTGTGGCTTATATTTCAATTAGAAAGAGAGGGAAGATCACTAAAGATTCCTCCACCTCATCCAGAAATTCCACATGTAACATCAAATTGGGATATGGTTTTAAGTAGTATTGAAAAACGATCAAAAATGATAAAGAAATATTCTAATGAAAGGAATCGTATTACAAGAACAATTAGTAAAGCAATTATTGATTATTTTAATTATTTGGCCAATAAAGATTTAAAAGAAAATTTGAAGGAGGAAAAAAGATTAAAGAAACTTGCTAAAACTGTAGCTAATATGGTTAAGAAAAAGTGGATGCAATGTGAAAAGGTATTTAAACTGTTTTTGGATCTTTGTCTCTATAAAAAAAAATACTTGAGGTTTGAATCTTTTTTAAATAATTAAATTTTTCAATTAGGTTGTTAAAAAAAAACAAGAAGAATTATTACAAGAAGAGCAAGATCGTGAAAGTAGGCGTCGTCTTAATCGATTGATTGAACATTCAGCTCAAATACTTGAAGCACAACAAAAAGAATTGTTAGGAGAAACTGTTAAACCTGAAATACACACTTTAAAGGATACCATTGATAATGACAATATTGAGCATCAAGATCCATTGTTAGAAAATGATCATTATATGGAGATAGAAAAAATAGAGTCAAATCACTGCATAGAAAGTCATGATCATGAATCAGATGATTTAAATGATTCACCTACTGCTACTACTTCAAGCACAGTGAATTTCATTACTCCAATACCAAATCTTCTTAGAGGAGAACTTCGTGATTATCAACGTCATGGTCTTGATTGGCTTGTAAGCTTGTATAATAATAAATTGAATGGTATTCTTGCTGATGAAATGGGTCTTGGAAAAACCATTCAAACAATTGCCCTATTAGCCTATTTAGC